CATTGTTTAGAATGTAGCACTTGCATCCAAACACATGGAAGTAGCTGATGTTTGGCTTCCTTCCTTTCCACAGTTCGTAGGGGGTCTTCTGATGATTCTTGTGGATCATGCTTCTGTTCTAAGTGTAGCATGCAGTGTTGATTACTTCAGCCCAGTATCTGACGGGCAATCCTGATTCTGCAATCATAGTTCTTGCAGCTTCCTTTAAAGTTCTATTCCTTCTTTCTGCAACACCATTTTGTTGGGGTGTTCTGGCAGCAGAAAGTTGATGGAAGGTGCCATTCTGATCACAGAAGTCCTTGATCACTTTGTTGACAAATTCAGTTCCTCTGTCAGATCTGATTGTCCTGACCTTCATGTTCTTCTCAGTCTGAAGTTGCTTTAACAGAGATGACAACTTCTGAAGAGTTTCATTCTTGTTTGTTAGGAACACAGTCCAAGTGTATCTTGAGTAGTCATCAACCATAACAAGAGTATATCTTTTTCCACTAACACTGGGAGTTTCAACTGGTCCAAATAAATCCATGTGAATCAGATTTAGAGGACAAGTAGAAAGATCTCCAGCTATGGGTTTGAATGAGGTCTTCACTTGTTTGCCCTTCTGACAAGCACTGCAGAGGGTCTCCTTCTTGTAAACAATGTCAGGCAGACCATCTACAATGTGTTCCCTTGCCAGTTTGTTGATGGTTTTGAAATTCAGGTGGCTAAGCTTCTTGTGCCAGTCCCAGCTTAGCTTTGAATTGTCTTTGGCTATCAAGCAGGTTCCATCTTTTGCTGTTTGCCAGTCAACAACATAGATGTTCTTTCTTCTCTTGGCAGTAAGAACCACTTCCTTAGTTGTCTCATGCTTGACATAGCATAAGGTCTTGGTGAATTCAACTGTGTAGCCTTTGTCACAGAATTGGCTAGCACTCAGGAGGTTGAACTTCAGACCCTTGACATATGAGACATCTTCAATGACTATCTGGTTCTTGATCAGCTTTCCTCTTCCTTTTGTTTGACCATCCTTGTCATTTCCTCCAAAAGTGACTCGGGGTCCATTGATTTTCTGGAACTCTGATAGGCAACTCTTGTCACCTGTCATGTGTCTGGAGCATCCACTATCTATAAACCATTCTTGTTCTGAGATAGCTCCAGCACACAGTTCCTGCAAGATTAAAAGGAAGATTTAGGTACCCAAGCAATGTTGGGTCCTGGGGGGTAATGCAGTCTTGGTAGTTGGTACCATTTTGGTCTCATCAACTGAAACCTTGGTGGATGGTACCCATTGTCCACCTGGTAGTTGTAGTAAACAGACGTATGATTCACTTTGGGCAGATGCTTGTGAGGATCATGCTTTCTGTTTGCATACTTTTGCATAGCCTTCTTTGTTGGAAAGAAGTCCCATATACTATCAAGATCAGAGGAGCGCTTAACTTTAGGCTTCTGAGGTTGACCAGACAACCTCTTCTGCCTATAGTTAATCTTCTCTTGATATCTGCCTCTCTGATAGCAGTTTCTGACACCATTGTTATGAGATTGTCTGATAGGATTAGGCCTTTGAGTATTATTTTTCTGAAAACTCTTCCTTTTGTTAGAATTTCTGCCAGGTTCATTAGTTTTCAAGATCTGTTTTGGTTTGGCCTTTAGATTTTGCTTCTCTGGTATGACCTTCTCATGTACAACTTTAGTACCAGAAGTACTAGCATGGCAGATGGGGCTGCAAGTCTGTGAAACTATGACCTTTTTTGCTTTAGCAACTTGGGTGCTAGGCCTTACAGAAGATTCACCAGACTTGGGTTCAATATATCCAAGACCAGGGGTAGAGGTGTGAAAGTCATTAATACCCTTCATAGAAGATTGCATCTTCAGAAGGCTATTGTATCTGACTTCAAGATGTTCAATCTCTCTTATTCTCTTTAGAAGAGACTCATTTTCAGCTTTCAGCTTACTGTTCTCTTCTTTAATAAAGGAATAAGATCCTTGGATAGTTTTGAACTCTTCCCAAAATGATGACATTGGATCATCATTTAAGGCTGTGCCTACCGAAGAGGAAATAGAATCAGCTGTAGAACATACCTCATCATCAGATTGTGCCATGAGGCAAAGGTCTTCAGTTTCTGCATCCAAGCAGCAGAATGCTTCATCAGAATCAGAGTCTGAACTGGACTCTGATTCAGACAGTGGATCTTTCTCAGCTTGCTCTGAGACGAAGGCTCTTCTTCTTCTGTGTTGATCTTCAGCTTTTGTCTCTCCTTCTTGTCCTTGCTTCTTGAACACTCTAGGGAATGGGCAGTTAGCCTTGAAGTGACCAGGCTGTCTGCAGTTGTAGTAGAGATACTCTCCATTGCTTTCAGAAGATTTGGTCTTCTGATGAGGTCTTCTGATGGAAGATGGACTCCTTCCATCTTTCTTCATAAACTTTCTGAATTTTCTGGCAAAGGCAGCCATATACTCATCAGATAAAAAAGTAGAAGGATCAAAGTTACTTACCTTTGAGGTGCTTGCAGTGAGAGCAGTGGTGGTCCTCTCATCAGGAACTTCCTCCTTCTCTTCATGCATCTCAAACTCATAAGCCTTGAGATCAGAAATGAGTTTCTCAGTGGCATAGGTCTTGATGTTCTTGCTTTCCTGGACTGCAATCACCTTCATCTTCCAAGCTAAAGGCAGTCCCCTGAGGATCTTCATGTTGACCTCTTTGATAGTGAGCTCCTTCCCAAGCTCAGAAATCTCACTGATGAGAATCAGCAGTCTCTCATGCATCTTAGCAATGCATTCTTCTGGCAGAAGTTTGAAGTCATCAAATTTCTTCATTGCAATGGTCAACTTGTTATCTCTTTCTTGCTCATCTCCTGCTCCAATCTCATCCAGCTTATCCCAGATCTCTTTGGCAGTTTTGCACTTCTTGATTCTGTTGAAGTATCTTTCATCAATAGCCTTGTAGAGGATGTCCTTGGCTATATTATCTAGATTGTACTGCCTTTTCTCTTCCTTGGTCCATTCTGACCGGGCTTTCTCAATCATCTGGGGCTGAGAGTTATCAATAGAGTGAGCAGGATTGATCTTCATGAACTGGATAAAGGGGCCATTCTCCAAGACTTCCCACATTTCATCATGAAGGGCACATAGATGTGCCTTCATTCTGATCTTCCAATCATCATACTTCTGATCTGTGAACATAAGATGCTTTGCAAGAGAATTATCCATTATAATAAATAAAGAGGCTAGAAACAAGTGGATCTTTGTTCAAGAAGTAACCTAAAAGATTACAAGAACAAGGAGGCTCTGATACCACTTGTTGGTCCCGATTAAATAGTAATCAGTCTAGAGGGGGGGGGGGTGAATAGACTGATGGGTTTTTCAATTTTTCTCTAAGTCCAAACTGACTTATCAGAGAAGGTCTTACTCTGGTAACAGAGGAAGGCTGGTTCTGATATCAGAACTGGCCTTGGCAGCGGATTCTGATCTGTCCGGGTAGCCTCAGAAACACTAAGGCAAATGCCTTTCTGATAACTCTGAAAACAAGATCTGCTGAACACAGATTCCAAGTCTTAGAGTTAATCAGTTAATGTCCTAAGTGCAGAAATATAAATTGCAGTAAAGTAAATGACACCGGATATTTTTATAGTGGTTCAAGGAACAACGCATTCCTCTAGTCCACTGTTCCACTAGCTTTGAAGTAGATCGGTTACAAAGCTTAGTTCCTAGCACTTAAGAAGTTCTCCACGCCTTCTTCAAGTCTAGCTGCCACCCAGGATGCAGTTCCACGTCCTGATGGCTGGTCCTTTCACTCAGCTTCCCGGAAGTATCACCACTTCACTACTGCAGTTACTTGGACGCCCTTCTTTTCAGAAGATCCTTTGAAAAACAAAGTTTTTCCTCCAACTTGCTTCGTCACAAATGATGTTTGATGAAGTTCTTGAAGAGTTGAAGAACAGGATGAACTTTGCTCTTGTTGGGGGTGAAAGATTGTGAGGTTGTATCTTCCCGACGTAAGCTTTTTCTTGTCTTTGTGTTGTAGATTTTGAATCTCAAGAATGCTTGTTGTATGAAGTTCAGAGCAAAAAGTTGTGGCAAAAGTTGTTTTCCTATTCTTCGGTGAGTAGCTTATATACTTGGGTTGTCTGCCCGTTGGAGGAGGAGACAACTGCATTAAATGCGCGTACTGTGGATTTGACCAGTTGGACCCGCAGTTTTGGCAGGTTTCCATTTTTGTATAATATTCTCCAGGATTCTCGGTCAATCATCTGCAATTACTCCACAGCGTATCAGTCTCATTAAATGAGCATTGAATGCTTTCCTTGGATGAAATATCTCCTAGCCGTTAAAGGATTTCCCGGCCGTTGAGGACAGCTTCGAAATCTTCCAAGTGTAAAGCGGAGTCTGATGAGCTTCTCTGATGACATTCTGATCTTGGATTCTGATGGACTTATATGAGGAACTCTGATACTTCTCTGGAGTTGGATTCTGATGAAGCTTTTCATCGAACTCTGATGTCTTTTTGATGTAGACTTCTGACGAGTCTCCGAAGAGCAATACTGATGGTTCTCTGATGCGCAACTCTCATGATTTCCGAGAGCGACTCTGAAACCAGTTCTCATATAGCGGCTCTGATCAGATCCACATAGCAACTCTGATAGTCGATTATACTAATACTTACATCAGAAAGTACTAATACATGAAGTCTAATTTGGGGGTACTTTAAAATTCTAATCTAAATAACCTAGCATCATCAAAATCTAATTACATTTATTCCTTACAATGGCCTACAACTGCAACTCCATGTACACATATAAACTGATCAAGTTGAAATTCACAACATGAGCATCAGAGCATGTCTTGTCTTTCAAATTAACAACGAAGCTTCTAGATGTTCTGTCCACCACCTCGAATTCACATTGACTAGCAGGATTCACCTAAAACAAAATAAAAAATACTAACAGTAGTTACACCTATAACATATGTGTAAAAGATGATAAGAACAAAAATATAACAATGCCATAGAAGGTAGGTAATACACTCACAGTCATAAGAGCTGCCTCGACATGATAAGAACGAAGTTGAGACTCAAAATGGGCAGAAAGAATTGTTTTACAAGTTGATGACGCATCACGACGTTCACAAAACCATTTTTGCATCCTTCCACGCAAAAAAACTACCAGTTTTGCTATAGGATACTCACGGGGCACACGGTCCACTGAATTCATTGACTCAGCGTTGTTAGATGTCATCAAAGAATACCTAGAACGAGTACAAAAACAACGAGCCCATTTCTATACACCTATTTCATCCAAATAATCACGGATACATGGATCTTCTGCATCTAATAAAGTCATATACTCTTCAAATTGAGTAGGAGTGGCAACCCTAGCAACCTGATTAAACTTCCATGCAAGACCTGTAGTAGAGCCCTTGAACTTTGATCTAATATTTCCTAAGATATGGTACGCACAATAGCCGTGTTCAGCATGCGGAAACACCACTTTTGCTTCATGTATAATACCATCGTGACGATCTGAAACAATATATAAGTCCTCCCTATACGCAAGACACTCCTTCAGTTTCATAAAAAACCAAGTCCATGTTTTTCTTCGCTCAGTATCAACCACACCAAACGCCAAAGGGAAGATCTGGCTGTTAGCGTCTTGAGCACATGCAGTTAATAATGTACCCTTGTAATACGCTTTCATATACGACCCATCAATAATAAGAGCTGGAAAACAGTGTTTCCAGCCTTGAATCCAAGCATCCAATGACATGAAGAATGACTTAAATCGATTATGCACACCAACATCTAACAAAATCAATGAACCGAGATGTTTCCGTTTAAGAACATAAGCAATGGAGGGTAACAATTGATATGACTGCTCATCCGAACCCATCAACTTCTCTTGAGCTTTCTTGTTTGCAAGCCAGACTTTCTTATATGGTATATCCAAAGCATAATCTCTATTTAAATCAACAATAATATCTTTTGGAGCATAAGGTTTCCTAGATGCATCAGCATACCAGTGTTTGATGAGTTCAGCAATTATTTATGTGGTAGCTTGACGGTGGGGACCTTGCCTCACATCCAGTGAGCATGTATGCTCAGAATCAAACCTGGGAAATTGTACAACAGTAAAGAGTCATTAAAAAGACAGTAAATAGACAATAAGTGAAAAATAGTACAACATCAGATTTTAAATGTGCAGTTGAGTAACATAAAGTACATTCTTATTTGATACATTTCACACCCATCCAACCTCACTGCACGCACAGCCCAATCACAACCCTCCTCATCAACACAAACAACATGCAAGAATTTTCTAGTTGATGTCCTAGTTGTGTATTGGAAAAGATTTAAAATGGCATACATCTTCAAATGATGGGATAATGATCTCTTATCATTGTAGATAGACTTTATAGGCATACATCTTCAAATGATGGGATAATGATCTCTTATCATTGTAGATAGACTTTATAGCAATACGAGTAGGATGAAAGTGACAGATTACTTGGATATCTTGAAAATTGTGAAAATAGTCTAAATCAAAGTGCTCATCACCAACAAGACCTTCACCGTCTGAAGATGTAGGTGAAGAAACTTCATTGCTAGAACCAGAAACGTGTGTAGGTAATGGATTGGTATCGCCAGAGTGAACTGAAATATCAACATTCGTAGCATACATATCCATAGACATTTCTTCAGTTTGAGGGGAAGAAACATCAAATGTGTGATGATGCCTAACAGAATTATGTTCAAGATGCTCAAATTCACCATGTGTAGACACATTTAAATCAACTGCAGGAAGCTGAGAAGATAAGTGGGCAGGACTAGACACAAATAGCGGAAACAACTCAACACACAAAGGATACTTGGCATATTCAGGTTGTGATTTTTTAAGAACCAAGTAAAATAACAAACTATAATCATCAACCACAAGTTCATTCACAGCAAAAGCACCAATGCACGAATAGACCAAAGCAATAAAAGGAATATACAATGTCTCATCCGGAACTATGAGACCACAAGTTCTTTTATTACAGAAAACATGGCAATCAATCCAACTCCCATCCACCTTTAGCATAAGCAACATTTTAATCTGGATAAAAAAGAGAAATAAATTCAAACAAAAAGTTCATCACATAATATATTCATGTCAATATGTAACTGTGTGATTATAAAAAGTCATATGTAATATATTTAAAGTCTGAACAACTAAATGAAAAAACAAATAATAACACAAGCTGCAACAAAATAGTAATAACTTCTAAAGTGAAAGGTATAAGAACAAAACACAGAAAATAGTAATGAATAAATTAAAGTCAGAGTTATAAGAACATAAACAGCAAACTAATCAACATATTGAAGATCAAAACCTATTGATGCAGAAGAATGTCTAATTACAGCATACAAAAGTGATAAAACAAAGACAAAAATTCGAAGTGTTATAGAGATAATTTCAGAGAATTATAATGTGAGATTATGAAGATAATTTAATGACTGAATTCATAAACAAACTAAAACTCCAAAATAGCCAACTAAAATATGTAATCAGAATGAAAATTCGAACACATCATACAAACTTACAGCAGAAATTCGCAGCAGGAATGATTGGCGATGAAACTGACTCGAAATTTCACAGAGAACGAGAAATCAAATCCGAATGAAGATTATGACTCGCAATTCATGGA